CACTTCACTTCGCTACACTACACTACACTTGCACTTCACTTCGCTACACTACACTACACTTGCACTTCGCTACACTACACTACACTTGCACTTCGCTACACTACACTTGCACTTCGCTACACTACACTTGCACTTTGCTACACTTCTCTCGACTTGTCTGTTGCGCTACATTCTCTTGACTTGTCTGTTGCGATGTTTTCAGTAATGGGTGTTTTTTTAATCGAGTTGTATTGCACAAAAAAGCAGGTAAAAATTTTTTGAGCGAAGAATGTTTGTTTTCCTAGTTATGCTAATAGGTGGTGCCACAAGCTTATTTGTGATGTGGTTGCAAGACTTTTCAAGAGAACGAAACTATAATTAACTCCAATTTAAAGATTTTGTGGGTTAGGACAGTATTGCATGGGACCTCTCAAACAACTGTCATAGTATCTGTAAATATTAAATTAATGTAATAAACTTTTTTTTGCTTTTAAACTAATTATGGATAAATAAATCACTAAATGATTTTAATTTAAAGTAAAAAAACTATTACATTTCAAAAAATTTTCAAATCAAATAAATCGGATTTAAATTTAGAAAATTAGATATTTTGAATTTAAAAAAATCATGATTTTTTTCTAGTCTTACTCAACAATAAAGGAGTTGTAATTTACACGCAAATATTCCTCATGAACTCTGTCCAAAGCTTTGTTGGCTTACAGCTGGATTTGTTAGTTTGTGTGGGCCAACCCAACTCGCTCATTTTTCACCAAAATGTTGTTTATCTTATAGTAAAGCTTGGTTGATGTTAGACTTTCCAATGGGTCAGTAGAGGATGTAAGAGACTTTTTTTTTAAATAAAAAAAGAACATTTTTTTGTTAATTTTTAATGCTGGTTATAATAGTTTTTCTTATATGGAATTCTCTGCTATGTAAATTTCTAATTATCTTGTTTCTTTTCTAGGTAAAATAGCATGTTCAAACGTAATCAGTGATCTTTACGCAATGGGTGTAACAGAATGCGACAACATGCTAATGCTTCTAGGTGTGTCAACTAAAATGACTGAGAAGGAACGTGATGTTGTTGTGCCTCTAATTATGCGAGGATTTAAGGTAATTATACGTACACGTTTTTAGTGTGCTTTATCAAAAACCTATTTCCTGGAACGCTGGAAGCATTTCTTCAATCACAATAACTTTTTTCATAAGCAAAAAATATAATTGTGAATTGGTATACAAGTATATCTATATCTTAGATGTTTTCTAAATGAAATTACTTGTTTTGAACATGGAATTTGTTTGGATTTTACATTATGAGAAGAGAAACAATTTTGAGGGTGCAGTATTAATGTTTATCAACTTCCAGTGTATTACTTTATACTGTAATATATATAAGTGTTACGGTTGTTTGCGTAGAGGTTGATGCGAGTAGTACAAGACTTCTGGTGAGTAATTCAATCTTCAGTTTGCATAATGTGGCATTGTGGTAAAATTTGTTACATGAATCTTATTCAGTTTAGTTATATCAAAGAAGTAAGTAATTGTCTTGTAATAATTTTGCCTTCTAATATGCTCGAAAATATTTGCATACAGAGTTATGCTTCATTTTCTCTAGTAATAGTATTGAACATGAAATATTTATATGAAAGTGAAGATTCATTAACATCGGAACTGGAATGCTTTTATGTAATAAAAGAAGGAAAGGTGGAAGTAATTTTTGTAGAATTTTCTCTCCTTTTTCCTTGATGTGGTCCTGTGTTACCAGGTTTGCTTTAAATGGAAGGTGCCAGGCAAAGTATTTTAGTGTTTATGTAGTTTAGACTTGATCATTGTTGACTTATTATTTATATGCTTATTTGTTCCATTACATTTCATTGTACTACTTGCTTCTTGGGGTGTTTTGTGAATAAAGGACGCAGCGATGGAGGCAGGTGCTACAGTTACTGGAGGGCAAACTGTAGTTAATCCTTGGTGTACAATTGGAGGCGTGGCAACCACAGTATGCCAGCCAAACGAATACATAGTGTAAGTAAAGGCTCTCTTCAATTTCATGCAATTTGTGTATTATATTTTTTTAAACCCTCTTCTTTAAATTTGAGGACTATTAAATGTTGCATGCATTATCTATGTCACAACTACACATGTGCAGATAGTAAAGACCATGATTTACATATATGGCTTGTGTTGAATAATTTTTGAAATCAGGACCACATAATTTTTCTGAGAAGTTGGGATTTTCATAGGGAGCTAGATAATAGATCAACTTAGCATGCTTACATTTCAGAATTTTGTCATCTCCTAAAAAGGTTCTTTGAAATAGTTTTAAATAAATTCAACAATTCATAGTTTTGAAGAACCCTTTCTATTACATTATAAACAAACTATAGTCCTGTTGCTTCCACTACATGGTTCCCATGAACCTCTTTACAACATTCACATCTCTACAACATTATTTTGTGTCATTCCAAGAACTTGTAATATCTTAAGTTCTGGACTAAATACCAAGGCTCAATTTGGATCTGCCAAGGTTTATTGTATATACAAAGTTTGTGATCCCATGACATTGACAGTTTATGATACTATGATAATGCCAGTGTCAAGCGCGGCGATGGTGTAATGGTTAGCAAATCTGACTTTTATACCCAAGTTGGTGGGTTCAAACTCCATCAAAGCCATGGATTTTTATGGGCAAAAAATCCTTTGGAGGGAAAGTAAAGCTGGCTGTCTCAAGTTAGTAGATTTACTTGCATATAAAAGATCCTCAAGCCTAAATGATGCCTCTGAGCTAAATTCAAATCACCTATTTCTCGCCTAAGAAAAACCTTCTTTGTCTGCAAGTAACAGTTGTGTGCTAGAATTGTTGCAATTCAAGCAACAGTTGTGCTAGCAACAGTTGCAAGCTATCCATCCAACCTTCTAACATTTTTAGTTAGATTTTACTTGCAATCAGTTAATTTGAAACTGGTGTTGAAATGCCAAAAATTTGTATAGTCTTTTTCCCTGAGGGTTCCTTAATACTGAGAGTTTTCTTAAGCCTTCCAAACATCCATACACAAGTCAAGTTCCTTAAATTATATATAGTATTTTCACTGTAATAGATATTCCCTGATCAATACAAATGAAGTCGTAGCTCCTAAATTTGAAATGGATCTTCTAATGGGGGGTTGGGTACGCTACATAAAAACATTTTATTCTTCAAAAAAGTTTTTTTTTATCCTTTCTTTTCTTTTCTAATTTGCTGAATAAAGCAATATTTCCTTAAAAATGTCCACCATAGATCTGGTTTTCATTCAAACTTGTGGAATTTCAAAAATTGCTTAAGCTAGGAATTTTTTGTTATTTATGCCAATACACATGACCAATCCCTTAGCATCCAACCATCTAAACAACGCATTACGAGCATGTTCATAGCAATAGCCATTAAAATGCCCCATTATTTTCACTGACGTTTCGGGTGCTCGTAAATCTTTGGATAAATATATTACCATAAAACAGAATTTTTGGTAAGGTCTCCCTTTTCCATTTACCCCTTGGCTAATTTTTCCCCCTTGGCCCATGTGTCCCTTTGTCCTCCTCCCATTTTGTCCCCATGCCACCATTCCCCTTGCCTGTTTGTATACATTATCTAATTTGCTCCTCTTTTCCCATTTTGTCCCATTGTCCACTTTGTCTTCCTTTCCCCTGCATTATCCTTTTGGTCCTTCCGCACACTGAGATTGTTATTTAACCAGGTACCAAGAACCTGCACCATCAACCCTTGCTACAGAACAAGAGTAATGACAATTTTTAACTCACGAAAGTGTTAAATACTAATTAGTTGTTACTAGGATATCAAGAAATAACAAAAAACATTGTATGTAACATCTCTTCTAATAATCTTTAAAGACTCTGCCTTCAGACTAATTGAGAAAACTTCCTACATAAATATTTCCTACATCCTCCTACTCGTTATCAAAGCTATTATTATTATTATTTTTTTTTTTTTTATGCGTTCTATTCCTCAGTGTTAGGTCTTATGGTACACTTTTATAATTAGTAGTTTTCTCCTAATTTTGAGTTACAATACATCAAAATGGCATTTTCTAGTAAACTTTTGAATTAAAAAGATTAAACAGTGCGTTTCTTTGTACGGCATGATGTTTGTTCAGTTAGTTTTTAAAATGATGACAATGATAAAGATATTAAAGCTGGTAGAATACAATTTGCAACATTATAGTGTTTGGTAATCATTACCAATAATAATAATAATAATAATAATAATAATAATAATAATAATAATAATAATAATGATAGTAGTAAAAATACATTATATACTGATGTAATTCCACTTACTTTTTCATTTCAAAAAATGTTTGATAATGTGGGGAGAAGGCGACCTGAGGTGTTGTCTCTATGCCTAGCCAACCCTTTCAGGATCCGCTATGGAACAGATGTGCTCAATGAGATATTAAAGTTCACAGTAAGCATTTGTACTGAAACTCTCAGATCAATTCAAAATTCTCTTGTGTTGTGTCGTGCATGCACTACAGTCCATCAGTTCTTCTTCACAGCCTTCAGTGTCTCTGCTCATTACCACCGCTGGTGTGAAATTGTTTAAAAATAAAATCTTCTGTACGATGCTTAATTTTCCTGATTTTGCTTAATTCGGGATTATTTAGTTTTGTGCCCATAAACCACCCCAAATTCTACAGCTCCCTTGTTGTATAAAGCTCTACTAAAGTCCCTTTTTTATATATATAAATATTTGAACTGCCTGAATGGTTATTTTATTTTTCAGGCCTGATAATGCTGTTGTAGGAGATGTACTAGTGCTTACTAAACCATTAGGTACTCAAGTTGCTGTAAATGCACATCAGTGGTTGGACCAACCAGAACGTTGGAATAGAATAAAATTGGTTGTATCAGAGGATGATGTGCGAAAAGCTTACCAGAGAGCAATGGACTCCATGGCTCGGCTAAATAAAACAGGTAAAACTTCAGCTAAATGAACTTCTTGAAATGCTATGTTAAGAGCAAACTAGTTTTGCTTAAGTTTGGAATTATACATGACTTCTGATTTTTAAGGAAATGACAAAAAAATATGATCTCTACCTTATAATGTGCATTTTTTAGTAATCCTATTCACTGATTATCCCTTGTGTGTATTAATGGATGCATATTACTCACACACTTTTTCTAGATACACAGATTACCAGCACTTCAGGTTGAAAATATAAACCTCATTCTGAGCATTGTGGCTTTCTTTCATATATTGGTACCTTCATGCTTTAAGAGAAGTCACATTATTAAATTAAGTGTATTTGTGAATGATTAATGATAAAATGTTCAGTCTCATTTTGTCACGATTTCTCATTTTTATGAGAATCTTTTCCCTGATTCCTGTGAACTTAAACATTGTTGTGCTGTTTTGTTACATTACACTATTAAATATGTAGGCTCACTATCTTAAATATTTCAATATTACGAGATTTCATACAAAAGTATTTTTGAAATACTGCAAGAATATGTCTCATACTATCTGATGATTGTTCATTATCGATTAGCCACTGTCTTAAGTCCCTCCTTTTCCTAATCTTATTCTCTGCAGTACAGAGTTTCAAGATAAAGTATGTGAATAGTTCATTATTATTCTAAATAAATATTGTCAAAAATAGTTTGTATTATTAGTATCCTTTGATTGCGAGATCATAGCTGGGAATACTCAAGTTACGTTTGTTGAGGATGTTGTTTTATGCTAGGTTATATTTGCTGTTGATTATGTTTAACATGTTAAATTTATGTTCAGCTGCCAGACTGATGCACAAGTATAATGCCCATGGTGCAACTGACGTAACCGGATTTGGATTGCTGGGCCATGCTCAGAATTTGGCTAGACATCAAAAGAATGAGGTTTCATTTGTTATTCACAATTTACCAGTAATTGCAAAAATGGCAGCTGTAGCTAAAGCATGTGGAAACATGTTCCAACTACTTCAAGGTCATTCGGCTGAAACATCTGGTGAGAATGATTAAATCATGTCTTTTTTTAATGCATCGCGTTTCTGTCATTACAGTCAAACTATGTCCTTCTTTGACCCATTTTGTGGAGCAAGGTGGGGGGGGGGACAAGTATTTTTCTATTCTTTCGGGCCAATGTTAGTCTCTTATGCCAACCACCCTGACAAAGAACCACTTTTATACTTGGAAATAGATCATATCCCTCTAAGACAACTATTTCTGACTCTTTTAAGACTAGAAATTTTTAAATTTTTCCTAGCTTTTCTTCTCCGCCCTAACATTTTACTTTGAACAGTGTGGGTTAGTAATATGGGGTGGTGTAGCAGGAATGATATGGGCTTGCCCTTTAATCCACCCATGTGAGAAAAAATTTCTCAGATCCAGATCTGTTTCAATAACATACTTTTTCAATTTATAGTGATGCCATTTCAAGCAATGTTTTCTGATATCAAGGTCAGCAACTACCTGTCTGTTTCTTAAAGCAGAAACATGAATATCTGTGATACAATTGATTGTTTTGCCATGTCATGAAGGATCTTACAAGTGTAACCACCTTAATTTTGAAATGAAAAAGTTTTAGAAAGTGAGTAAAGGGTGTCAAATGGATGTAAATATCTAATTTCTTTGCCAATAGAGCATTTTGATAGTGTCATTGGCAACCTTAATTTTTTGTGCTTATATTATTGTTGGTCCGGCTTATTAGTATTTATCTCAGACTTAGAACTTGGCTTCAAATTTGTTTCAGACTTAGAATATGACATATGACTTGGAAGACAGTGGTCAGCGTACAAAATTTTAAAATTTCTGAATAAACAAGACAAAGAGGGAGATTATATCCCTACCAATAGAAAAGGGGAAGAATGGAATGAACATTTCCAAAATGTATGATACGGTAATAATGCCAACTAAGAAAAACCATCAGAAGAGAAAATTGAAACTGACATGTTCACAATAGATGAGCTAGAGGTAGCAATTGCAACATTGAAATGTAGAAAAGCCTGCAGAACAGATAAAATAAATTTAGTAAGTAGTATGGTGGTATCGTTGGTAAATTCTGACTCCTGCACCTTTTAAATATATGCTGGTCAAAACATCTACCATAGAGTGGAAGGAAGGAAGGAAGGAAGGAATGGTTAGCCCTCTCTATAACAAAAGAGACAAATAATTGCTCAAACTATAGAGGCATTAGCTTGTTAAATACTAGCTGCAAAATGTATGCAAGAATAATAACCAAGAGACTCCAGATAATTGTCGAATATATACTTCTAGAAGACAGAATGGTTTCAAGAAGGGAAGGTCCTGTATAAATGGAGTATTCACCCTCAAACAAAGTATTGAGAAATGCCGAGAAATATACCTAGAAACACACCTTTTATTCATAGACCTAGGAAAGGCATTTGAGAGAGTAATAAGGCATACTCTCTACAGGCATGGAAAAGATATTAATACCCAGAAAACTAATAAAGGTAATAAAAAGTATGTTTAATGAAACTCTCATATTGCCTACATTGTTCAATTTATATATATGTATTGACTCGCTACTCTCAGAATGGAAGAATGATATACACAATGAAGGAATTTCAATAGGAAATAATACTGAGAACAACATGCTCTTGTTTGCAGATGGTATAATTTTGGTCACTAATTGTGAAGATGACCTCCAGAAGTTAATATTTAAATTATGAAAAAGTGCAATGGAATATAATTGTAAAATATCAACCAACAAAAGTAAGGCTGTGGCTTTGAGGTAAACATCCCATACGAACAAAAATAGTAATAAACAACATTACTATCAAACAAGTATCCAACTTCCACTATCTAGGATGCAACATAACATATCTTAATGTCATTAATGTACAACAAAAAATATCTAAATTTCAGGTTATCTGCGGCACTATCAAATGAACATTGGGAAAGAAAGCACAGAAAGAAACCAAACTCAAGCTAAAACACTGGCCATACCTACTCTCCTGTATGGATGCGAAACATGGGTAACATCATTTAGAGAAAACAGGAGAAATAACTCAGAAGAAATATGATTTCTGAGGTATGTGAAAGGGTGCACATTAATGCACCATGTCAGAAATGAGGATATTAGAGAAGAATTGGGAATTACAAACTTACAAGAAAAGATAAACGCATTTGGAAAAAAAACTGGATAGACCATTTATAAAGAATGAACAATGAGAGATTGCCCAAGCAGGCCTATTACTATCTCCCAAAAGGAAATAGAGAAGTAGGAAGACTAATGAAGAGATGGTCTTATCTAGACAACTTTGCCAGAATAGGCTAGATCAGCCTAACCCATGCTGCTGCTGCTGATATATTGTTCTTTATTAAGTTATGTTATTAAAGTACTTAAATCAACTTAATTTATAAGTTTCATTCCCGTATCTTTAGATTTACCTAGTCTCAAACTCATTAATTTTCCATTTCTTTACTAATTAAATCAGCATATTACAGTAGCATGCATAAAAAAACTTAAATATGATAAATTAGAACGGTCTCATCATGGAATAAATTACCTATTTAATGGACTGTTGTATTTCACCTATGACAACCACCCCTTCATTTCACCACTTTTAGCTACAAATTAGGGTGGTCAGTATGATGGGTTTTAATTTTTAATGTGATAACTTAGGACGTATAAATTATGGGAGATTATTGATACATACTTTTTCAGCACTCTTGCTTGGAAACTTATACTTAACTTCACAGTTTATTGATTGGAAAGTTGTTCTTTACAGTATGTAAATGGCAATGTAGACTTTGCTGTACGCATACTGCAAAGAAGTTATGGCATTTTAAAAAGGTGGGAACTGCAAAATAAAGAAAACACAGCAACAAAAAACAGGCAACAGGAAACAACATAGCTAATGCCTTGCATAATGAGAATGATCTCAAAATTATACACTTGCAAGTTTCCTCAATTTAGTGCTAAAACACACAGTAATGCAACTCATTTGAAAATTATAGGTGTACTTTCAAAATCCCAATCTCTTGTCAGATCGTCACCTTGTCAACATTTCGTTTATACGCCAAAGACTGACTTTCTGTACTATTATATAAATAACTTCAATGGCAAATAACTTTTGAAGTTTGGTCTGATAGAGTAGAAGAGTAAGAGTAAGGTGGAGTTATGATAAAACAAAGGTCCCCCTGTATAGTGTTAGCAGTTTCCTACAATATAAATTTGTTTAATCCAAATCTAGTTTATCCCCAAGTTAAATGTGACCTTATTTGTAATTCCATCACTAAATGACATTCCACTGATGGTTGTTGAATACATTGATAAGACAGTATTAAGAAGATATTTTCTAAAGTAGGGTTCCTTTGCAATTAATTTAAGAAATTTTGCATGTGTGTCAAAGAAAATTGTTTTAATATTTGTTAAGAATTCAAAATTTAGTTCTAAGGCATTATTCATTCAAGGAGGATGAGGAGGTGTTGTTTATTCAATTCATTAATTTGCATGTGTAAATTACATATTGAAGGTAATACATTACAATTGAAGTGTGATAACAATGCCACCTATGTATAGAACCAACTCTTCTTCACTTATGTCTATAAAAGTTAAATGTTACAATTACGCTGCTGTATTTAATGTAAAACTATTGTTAATATTTACATCATAATGGTCATTATTTTGTATAACTTATTGGAATTTCTATTGTAGGTGGATTGCTGATTTGTTTGCCACGAGAACAAGCTGCAGCTTATTGCAAAGATATTGAGAAACAAGAAGGGTACCAAGCTTGGATTATTGGTATTGTGGAAAAAGGAAATCGCACTGCACGTATTATAGATAAACCACGTGTTATTGAAGTGCCTGCGAAAGAGAAGGATGGAGAATTATGGTAGAACATTTGGGCAACATTATCAGATTATGTGATGTTTTATTGATTTTTGGCTGAGAAATAACTTTTATAAAGTTGATCTCTGAAATTAATTTCCACTATGAAAACTAAAATTTCAACCAAAACTTACCTGCATTCAATAACTGGAGATAACAGATGTATATTCTTTCTCCTGTTATTTGAATGCGTGTATATATTTATTTTATACTTTTAGCAATAATAAATGCTTGTGATTCCATGAAATAAACTAATAGGTAAAGATTGCTAAATGGTTTGCCTTAGAGACTTGAAAAATATTCAAAACATCTTTTTCAGAGTGTTGAGTAGAGAAAAGTACAATACATCTTGTATATTTTCGTCAAAGGAATATACCTTTTGTTTTTCAGAATTTGTTAAATGTTTATTTAGAAACATCCTCGGTGAACTCTGAAACAATAATTCTTGGTTTTATTCAAGGAAAATGCATGAAAACATTTTCTGTAAATCTTGTATAAATTATAGAATTTTTAAGTCTCAAATTTTGTGCAAGATGGAGAAACTGGCACAGGATTGACAGATGTAATGGTGACAGGCTGCCCAAGGAAAGTGACCGAGGGTTTTGAGGCCTTGCAAAAGATGTGGTATTATATTAACCTTTACTAATGCTACACATTTAGTGTGAGTTGATGAGTGTTTTAGTCATCCTTTGAATGAATGACACTTCAATCGAAATGAGAATAGAATTGATAATTTCACATTGCGTTGTTGGTGCAGGAATTGTCATTTCCGTAATCAGTGTGTGCTTATAGGTAACCTTTCATTGGTCACGGTCAGTGGCTCTCTGGAGTAGTGGCTCTACATGTTACCTAAAATATCAGTTCTTTTCTCATTTTTATTGAACAGTATTTCTTGAATTTGAAGACGTGAATGTGAATTATATGTTTCATTGGTCATGTTGCTCAGCAGTGATAATACTGTGTCCCCCTTGGGCAATTGCTATGTATGACCTCTGGGCTTCCTGGCTTAATTGAATAGCTTTATCTGTCAGTAAGTTGAATGAAATATTCAAAATTATGGATAAACCTGTGCAAATCTCCATTGCTATTACATAATTTGAAAACGCTTTATTAGCTCTGGACATCAATACTTATGTCACATTTCTTCTAAGATTATGTTATGAATATGAAACCATATTGGTTTGTGATGAGATTTTTGTCAAGAAATGGTAAATATATTGATGAATGTTAATTTGATTAGTTGTTTATTTGTAGAAAGTTCTTGAATAAGTCTAGAGAATGTCTGATCCTTCACAGATGCAAGATAAGTACAGAAGTTAATAGTGTTGCTGTGGTCTATTATTGGTCAGTTTCTTTTGTTAAGCAGCTTGATTATTGGCAGCAGTATTATTTCTGTAAGCATTTGAAGAAATTTTGGGTGATTGCTTTTGTGTTCTAAATTGAGATCTGTTCAAGAAAGGTTATTTTCTGAAAATCCTTGATGGGTAGTCTTCATAGAGGATAACTTGAAATTTGATACATTTTTTGAATCTGCTATTAATGACACGATAAAAGCTGGCTAAAGGTAGGAGACTCCTCAAAAACACATTTGGAAGAGGATTGTAGCTCCAAGTGCAGTAATTTACTATTTATAGCACTTAAATAGTTGATGAAATAGTGTATTACCAGCATATGTGAAGTCTTTTGTTTTTCTAGGAACGAGTGCAAAATCTGAGATGAGTGTTTTCTCCGATTTAACACCACACAATACCTACAAGTCTTAGCGTATGCATATTTTCAGTATATTCAGAAAGCTGCAGTTTTGTGATCGTGTTTTACTCTAATGCTGATTCCAACAGTATATGAATGGAAAAACTCTTTGTTAACATGTGAGACTGTATTTGGTCAATAATTCTGACTAAATGTTGAATCAGCAGAAATCAGAATGCAACACTTCTAGCATTGTCTGATTGTCAGTAGTGTACGTTGTGCTAAGTTGTCTCGCTCTAAATTTTGGTCCTCACAATTAGTGCTTAGTCTTTTGAATCCTAGTTTGCTCTTATTGCGAAAGATTACTTCAAGGAATGTGTTTCAGCGAGGCTTTTGTCATTTGTTATCTACTCCAAATATGACTAAATGTATTAAACTGCCAGCAGTGCCACACCTGTTGTTTATGTAGCTTCAAATTGTTAGTTAAATTACAGATTATTTTTACACCATGAAATTGTAAAACTACATTCCTGCAATGAATATTCTGTGTATTTCTGCAAAATGTAATTGTTGATGCTCATTTATGAAGGATCGTTGACTCGTGTTGAAATCATTTATTTCCCTGTTAATTTAGCCCAACTGAATGTTGAGGTTTTCCCAAGCATATGATTCAAGACAGGGAAATTTGTACTAACAAATCTTGTTTTGAGGAAGTTAGAATTGAGATCACATCAATAACTAATTGGGTTAAATAAACAGATAAATTGTGAGTAGTTTAACTTTGTAAAACAAAATACTTTAATTCATGCTTTCTCTTGTGCAGTTATCAGACCAAGGGTGTTCATGTAAGTCCAAGTGCACATGTTGGAAATGCATGTCCAAATTACTGTTCCATCTATTATGTGTATGTCTCCAAATTTTTAAATATACAGTAGCTTCTAAATATTAACTTTATTATTCAATTATTTTTTTACCTCTTTCCTACTTTTTTACAATCCTTGATACAATGTTTATTCTTTAAATTTTTATTAAATTACTGGTGAAACCATACAGATGATCCTACGGGATTATTTGTCAACTTCTTTACAATTCTTACCCTATAATCTCTAACTAGAGATATGGGTTCATTGTGATAATCCATAGCAATGGAACATAAGCCAATTAGAATGAATAATAAAATTAATTATAGTGATTTTTTACTTCAGATCTGTATGGTATTAACTGTCTGTGTACATTTTCCACAATGATTGCAAATTGCTTCATTTAAATTAATAAAATAATAATAATTACATATTTTTATGTGAGCTATGAATTATGAAAATTTGGAGTAGGACTTACGGAGTCCCTAGGGTAAAGAACAAAGGTGTCACTCATGAGTGTAACAAGAAGACTGCTAAAACATTCCTCAGAAATTTCAAAATTTCTTGATTAATCTAGAGTGAATTGAGTTGCTGGGTGGAGGAGAATTCTTATGACCAGCTGCCCTGCTCGGTAGTTTTCCCTGGTTTCTCTGATCAACATCAGGTGAATGCTGGAGCAGGACCCTGAGAGATGGACCACGCGGGATCTTTTCTTCTTCCTCTTCCTTGTCCTATTCACACCCCTTACATACACACATATACACTAACATGCACGACACTTCCACACATGTCAAGAGCTTTGAGCTTGTCCCGGTGGAACTGGACTGGTGCCCCTGGTATTGGTGGGAGATATCCGATTGGGAAAACCCCACTAGCCGACGGTAGGTTGGCACTGGATGTCTCCGTTCAGAGGGGGAAGAGCACCGCCAGCTTCCAAGGAAAGCAACACGCCCTACACTTACAGAACTAATGACCTTGGCTATTGTGCCTGGAATCACAATCGATTAATCATGTTGATTAAATCTTTTAACATAATTATGGTACTGTATTTTTTTTGCCACAGTGCATCTCTCATCTAGCAAATTATGGATGATATACCTCTAAGTATTGAATATTTGTTGAAGGAATTCATCATAATAATCACACATGTGGTTATGCTTCCAAGCCTGATTGCAAATGTTGACACAATCTTAATTTCTTTTACACTTGTTGAAACTGCAGGCTGCTCCCTTCTCGTCTCAGTGCAGTGGCAGCTCGTACTTAGGTTGCTCAACCCCCAGATAATCAAAACAAGATCTTATAATCTTAAGAATTTACATTTTCATTTTAACGGCATTCAATGTTCAAGATATTGGACCAATATCGATGTATATGAAATAATTTTGAATCCAAAGAGCGTCCAACCAGTGCTCTCTCCTGCGTCTGGTGACTGCCAGGTATTGCACGACACTCTTGGCTCTATTACTTAACTGCATTTTCTCTTTGGCCCTTCGCTTTTCGAGAAACATTCGCTTGAAGTTTACGCAGGCCCTTCGCTTTTGTTGACGCAACCAAATGGATATTGATTGGTTGTCTTGTCGCCGAGGGCTGCGCGGCGACCGAGGTATTCCGAAGAGTCTGACTAGCTGTAACTTAATTTTATGATTTTTTTCCCCTTAATTTATTCTGTCTATATCGAAACGCGTCTCCAAACTCCGTAAGGAGTGTTGAGTGCACTGGAGTAATCCTTCGTTAATAAGCGCCCTGTAGGAGCCGCTGTATTTTCAAGTATTTTCAATACTCAAGTCAGGGAATTGCTGACAGGTACCGTCTTCGCGCTCGTGTCTCGCACGCGCCCTGTGTCCCCGTCGGCCAGAATTGGGAAGGAATAAGGATAGGGGCAAGGTACAGGACGCTTCACAGGGGTTGGACTAGCCCTTGTGAAGCACGCAAACTCGTTTTGTTCTAACAAATTTCACATGAGGTTGTACGGGGACTCTATGAGAATCGAACCCGGAACCTCGGTGGTGAAAGGCAAGCGACTTCGCCAATTTCGCATGTTATTGAAGTAAACAAGTTCTCCAAAAAATTAACGGTATTCAAAGCATCGTTGATGATATTAGGAAAATTTGCTTTCAATGTTATATTAGGTTTGTTGATTCAAAACGTACCTATAATGAGTTCTTTGTGTAAAGTTGACAGTTATGTATGTGTATATATATACCTGTATATATGATTGCCAAGCTCTCACGTGGAGGGGCGGTAACATTCCATTCCAGTGGTGACCCCCTCATCTGCTTCCCCGTCGTTAGCTTTGCCCGGTTGCTTGTAAAACGATGTAGGAAAGGATGCATGCGTGATCTGACTTGCGCATTCATTACTCGCGAACACTATTAAACAATGTAACAATGTGAATTTAATAGATCTATTCTTATGCTGGGAATTTCCGAGGTTAAGCCTCTGGCTACAAGGTTTCTGAGTCTCAATCTTAGCTTACATCCAAAACTTGACCTAAAGTGACGGAATCGCTGCGTCGTTGCTGCGGTGCCTGAAACCTCAGGGCAAGCAGAGTCGCACTGCCCTGTCAGAACTTCATACTGCAATTTATCCAACTCTTCCCCTGGCTTCACTATGGTGACGTTCAAGCTCCCGTTTGGCGGCTCGCTTGGTGGTGGTGCCGCCTGTCCCCAGGGCGGTCCAGCTGCAGCGTACCCGGTCGGCGTCGAACCAGGCGGCGGCGTGTGTGCATACGCCCGCCATTCGTTGCTGTCCAATTACGGCCGTTTTGGTGTCTAGCAATCGTGCGTTCGCTCGACGGCAACCGTCCTCTGTGCGGCCTCGCTCGAGCAGCGTTCGCGGCCGGAATGGCAGCGATGGTGCGAGTGCAGCGGATCTGGAGCACGTCGTGTCGGCGACGTAACAGCCGGTAGCGGCGGCGGTGGAAATGCCCATGATCATGCACGCCGTTCTCCCGAGAACCAAGTTCTCTCGGACGCTAGCGCGTGAAACTCCCACACCCTTACTGGAGCGAAGGTGTCCGCAAGCACTCTCAGATATATGTGAATGTTGCGGCCTTACTCCATGCTCTCTCCGATATCAGTGACCGAAGCATATTTCGGCTACAATCTGCGTAGACGCGCGCGTTTCACATACCCGCGTCTGGGTCACGGCAATAGGCCCGTAAAATCCGCGTGGGCGCACTATCGCGGTGTCGTGCTATGTTGCTGCCTAGAAGCACTTCGTCATAATTGGGCGTGGAGCGGCGGTGGCGTACTCTCCATCCTTGTTCATGCTCCCTCGCCCCCAGCTCTTAATAAAGGTCAGTCCTTCCCTCTCCGCGTACCAAACAAAATATACTCTAGATCCTGTCCTGTCCTCACCGCGTGCCTGCAGGTATTAATGAGCAGGCGGCCCCAGTTTCGTTACTGTCCTCTGCGTCTAAGTTTTGCGAGCTCCAAGGCTACGCGAAATATAATTTAAAACTGGAATTCCGACGTACGCGATCGTCCCATTACTATAGTTATAACCCCACAATTTGGGGGGGGGTATTATACGATAGCGTATAATACATTAAAATTAGTTTTATTATCCTTGCCTTCTTTGTAGTATTGTTTTCTGAGTCTACAGATTGGCATGTTGTTTTTTCGTAAACGGTTGAGTAGGGCCTTTTTCTGGACTTGGTGTTTAATTTGATACTTCGGGTTTGTGAGTCACGTTTTTACTTCCCGTATTACGTATTTGCGGAGTATTATAAAGCTACAGTGAAATGTGGCGACTTCTCGTCAGAAAAACTCGTGGGGCCCTGGTAATGAAAGAAAGTTTATAAATATAGTTCCTATTATATGAAGTAAATTACTAGATTAAACATGTGCAGTGAGGATCCGTTTTGCGGGTTCTTGATACCTAACAATTGGTTTGCAATAAAACGTCCGTCCATCCGTGGTGCTAGCACCTAAACTATTCCAATTATTTTCTCTATTAACATTTTAAAACTTTTCTCATATGATATTTTTTCTCGGGTAGAGAAAATAGCGCTTTAAAGTGACGCAGGACTCATTTTTGGGAACCGAAGTTTTCAAGTAGGTAAAAGTTCAAAAATGTTAGACGTCTCGTTACACCTACAATATTGTAGAGAGATTTTTTCATAATTAAATCTGTTCTACAAATACATCTTGACATAAGATAAAGCATTACGATTTTCGCGTAACTTTGCATGAAATATTGACAAGACTTAAATAATTATTTTATTAAAAGAGTAAAAATTCATATTTTTTTCTCTCTTGAATAGAGCGAAGTTCACTTTTAGAAATTGTGCAGGTACCATTTTCGTTAAACTCTGTATTGTCTTGAGTGCAAAAACTTAATATCGCAAAACTACAATATTGGTAACATAATATTTCTTTACTGAGTTAAATTCTATAAAATTAGACTTTTAAATAATCAATGAACAATTTTTTAAACGGTATTTTTTTAATGAAATGAAACCTATAAAACTAGACCTATAAATAACATAGTACACAAAAAAAAAGAATAGTTTTCACATAATTTTTCTCGAACTTGAACCGCAATTTGTTTTTAAAATTTCAAAAAAATACTCGTAAGTGTTTATTTAAAATGTGTTCTTGAATAGAACAAAGGACACTTTAAAACTGGCGCAGGTTTCATTTTCGGTTTCGTGTATGTGTGCCTGTGGCTGAATTCAATACGGGTATGTTTGCTCGAGTCACGTTTGACCTTACTTCCTGGAGCGGAAGTTAGTGACATGCGGCTCTGCATTGCAAATTGAATTTTTCATATCAGGTGACGTAACTAATATAACTAGTGGTACTAAAATAACCCGAA